TTCCATTTAAAAAAATTAATGTGACCTTGACCTGACCTTCGCTACGCAACCCAAGGTCAAACTGATGTGATCAGTAAATACATCTTTTTAAACGCCACAACTTTTGTCTGAAACATTTTTTTGTAAAACTTATATTTTTCCTGATATTCGGGCGTCCCGGTACTTTCCGAACACCCTGTATATATTTATGAATATTTAAAAAAAAATTATTATTTAAAAACGAAAATTTACAATTTTTAGATATTAAATATTTTATATAAATATTTTAACTAATCCTAGCAAAAACACAAAATACAATAATTTTATAACATAGATGTAACATAATATAATTGCTATTATACGTTATTAATATTAAGGTTACTCAATTTCGTTTTATAATTATAATATAACGGTATTTTAAAACTTTTACATTATTCTGTTATTTATTGGTTGTAATAATATAATATAATTTAAATATAATATATTATATAACAAGTGTTCGCATTACGCATTTATGATATATAACATTTTTATATACAGATATCAAATAGCTCTTTATATGGTGTCTATTTCTCGTATGTAAAATATGGAGTCGTATTCTTGAAAAATATATGATGTTTTGATAGAAAGTTACAATATATATAATACACTTCCAAAAAATTTCTTGTGGACGTCTCGGAGATGTCGTTATGTTCTCAGTACGTCTTCAGGATTTTCTCAAGACGTTTCTTGGAAGATTTGTGTTGTATGGGATATAACGTATGTTATATTACAGGTTACATTTTATTACATTATGACATTTAATTATATTGTTATTGTATGTTTGCTGGAATTATTATCGAAATTTTATTCATATATGTATCAATGACATATTTTAAATGCTTTTTTTTTTTTTATAGAAATACGCTGTAAAGCTTTAAGCACAGTATCGACTGAAGCTAGATGTACATATAACGACGATTGGGTGTCGTGTGAGTCTCCGGTTTTGCCAAGAACAACAGCGATGTTAACATGTCGAAACAGTTATCGACGTGAAAGTTTATTTTCAACGCAAAGAGATCGTGTGAGATGTAACATGAATGGTCAATGGGAACCAGAGCCTATACGGTGCATTCCAGGTCCGCTCTCGATTAATATATATCTTAATGATAATCAACTTATGTTACAAACAACTTTAGATAGAAAAAATTCTACATTGATTCAAATTTTAAGCGATAGAATCATTATATATACAAATCCTCAGTCAAATAATTAAAAAAAGTTGAAGAAATAAAAACACATATAGATGCAAATAGTGGATTAACGGAAAATCCTTGGCCATGGTTTTGAAAAACGCTGTAGTTGAAAATTCTACTAACAACACATTATCTTTTTCTGCAAGACTTGTATTAATTGCAAAAAATTATAAAAACTTTTGTACAATAAAAATATGTCTGTATATTAATTAAAATATTATCTAATTTATGACGAACACGAGAAAAAATTATTTAAATTATCATTTTTATCTTAAAATTGCATCACAAGCAGTCACAAAAATATATATATTTAATATCAAAGTTCTATAATCTATAAATGAATGCAAACGACTTATCTTAGTAAAAACATTTAAAAGACATCTAAAAATATCTTATTTATTTTTGATATCTTATAGATGTTTTTATTTAATGTTTTTTAGGATAACTCTCTCCAAATTATAATTAAGCTAGTAGATAATTAATTCAACTGACAAAGTTGTCAATATGAAAAACAAAGACAATTTATTAAGAAACTATTATGTTTATTCTTTATAACTTGTATTTAAAATTGCTATTAATTATATGTGTATTAACTATTATTAAATACTATCTATTCTATCAATACACACAGAATAATTAACATTTTGATTATTGTTAAACAAAACATTACATAGCTAAAAATTACTGTTGATAATTTTGCCAGTTAATTGCCGATTATATTAATCAGAGATTAGAGGAAATCAGCTTTAGTTGGCATGCTGAAAGAATATAAAAATAAAATATAAAATATTATAAGTTATATTGATTTTTCGATTATCTTATCTTAGTACTATTATACATAAAATGAAGAAGATTCAATTTATGTTAAAAACAGATTAATGACTATTGTATTCAAAACATTTAAAGTGACATTAACGTCGAATTAATATGGAGCAACTTAAGATCAATTTTTTCTTTATCACAATATATCCTTGTAACTATATAACCTGTAATAAATGAAATCTCGATATTTTATTTGCAAAAAAATCGTCAAAAGTGAACCTCATCAATTGTGATTGACTTTGGACACACACACCACACACACACACACACACACACACACACACACACA